ATTTTTATTATGCCTGAAACAAGATAAAATGTTGAACTATAGAGCCACCTTGTGGTGATTAGGCACTATTACACATACATCAACATCATAATTTATTAGTTTTTCCATCCATGCTCCAAATATATATACTTCAGTTTATGTGTAAATGTGTATGTACGTATATATAAATTAAGTGACTATGACATAACAGTTACACATATATAAAAAAATAATAAATTGTCAAATCAATCCCTAAATGCCGTTTAGGATATGCAATACTAATTTGAATTATATGTGAACACTGAAAGAAAAAAAACATTGCCCAATGCTCATAAAAATCATAACTAGAACATGAATCAGGGATTAAAATAGGATTTGGTAACAATGAAATGGTAATATCCTTCATGTTCTGCTATTAGAGCATTTAGTTGTTTGTCACTGTCTCTCTCCATTTTGGAGAGAACATCCTTGTGCACCAGAGACCTGAATTTAGAATAAAGTTGAATGGAGGGGAGTGATATTCTTAACCCTAATTCCCATCTTCTTTTTTGTGGTGCGATAATTGTGATTCTATCATTTGCCAATGCTGCCCAGCATAGAGAATACTCCCCCCCTCCTGCAAAAGTGACTATATCGAATATGTTGAGTTGTTATTGGGTGGGTAACCTTCATCCCATTCAGGACACAATTGGGCACTCTGTGAGCTTATACAGATCTCTTTCCTAAAAGTGGGGTCCTTGACATGTGGGGAAGTCCGCTAGTTTCCCCTTTTAGTCATCTTAGAAGGGAATAAGAATTGGTTTCATTGTGAGTCATACATAGGCCAGGCCCACTAAAATCAGGGACATTTAAGCCACATTTATGAACTTAACATGCTTGGCCTAAGAATGTTGAAAGAAACTTAATTAATGATCAAATATTTAAACCTAATTTTGAGGCTTTCCCTATTGAGGAGTCAGTACTGTCTTCTAAGGCTATGCAAGGAAAATGTAGCAGAAGACACGTGTTCTCACAGAAAGATGTCTTAGATTTAAAACAAATGCAACATATATATCATGTGTACTCACAATCCTCTTTCCCTTTCAGATTCAAGATGGTTGCATAGCTTTTTTTATCCACTCATCTTTGAGTTGGCAGAACATTATGTGGGTCTAGAATTTGTTACTGCTACTGTTGCTCTCTCTCCTACCTTCACTGCAACTGTTGCTAGTCATTTCCAGCCCATTGACTTCATCCCAAGATAATAGATCACAAGGCCAAATAGATTTTATGCATCTTGAGTCTGCCCTTGGACAGTGATGAAATAAGAGAGAAAATACAATTTAAAAACTGGGCTTTTGGACTCCTAGCAGCCATTTAGATAGATTCCTCCCCACCAATAATGATATATAATGATATATCTCTAACTTTGAGGTCTTCCAACATTGCTACAGAAAATGAATTGATCTGCTTTGCTGGTGGTTGCCTTCTTCTTCTCTTTCCTTCTACCTTTCCAGAATTAGCATCTTTTTCTAGAGATTTATGTGAATTTAAGATTGTCTCAGTAATGGGTTGGAGAGGGGTATAATACAGCATCACAGCAGCCATAAACAGAGCAATATAATAGCAACATTTTGAACATAAATTAGGCTTTAGGTTTAGAAAGAAATGAATCTGTTTAACAGAGTTTCATCAGTTAAGCATTAAAAAATAAACATTTATCTAGTCCGCAGAGTAATCAGTGCCTGCAATTTTTTTCTCCACAACTGAAATATACTCTCCTGAACAATGTTTAGTCAAGATATGGAAAGTATGCATTTTCTAAAAAAAAATGCTTTGACTTGAGAAATTATGAACAGTTTTAATTGGGGAGGTCTTAGTGCTCTTTGAGTTTGGTGGTTTGTTTGCCGATGTTTCACTACTCAACTAAGTAACAACCTTAGAACAAGTGTGTGTGTGCAGTTTGCTTCCTGCTTACATACAATAGCAAATTAGAAATGCAAGCCTATTGAAAAACAAACCACAGTAGGTAGCCAAGTGCTCCATTACCAAAATAACAACTCAACTTCCCATAAGAGAGCTACGTAAGAACATTATTCAGATGAACACAAACACATTGCAGCAACCCAGAACACCAGAAAGAGGAAACACACTGCCTATACAACATCTTTTAACTAAGTAGATGCCCAACTTAAGTGCCCAACCACTGATCTGTCTACAACACAGCCAACCCAAGCTATGAAAAAGATAATACTACCAAACAGAAACCATGCCCTCCCAAAATTATGACCACATATCATTACTGTAGTATACAAATATTGTAAAGCCCTCCAAAAGGCCAGTGTTGCCCCAAACAGGGAGGTAGATGATATATGGATGGACTGCAGGAAGGACCAAAAAGAACAGAAAAGAAACATGGCAAGACAAATATTACATGGCTAATGCCTAAAAAAAAAAAACATGAGGCAAAGCAGATAGCACAAACAAGAACCAATAGGATAATAAAATAGACAAATTGATTAAGTTATAGAAAAAAAAACAGAGGGATTAACTCTTGCTGCACAAGACCAAACTTTAAGAAGAAAAGCATACAAAACTGAGAAGCAAAAAATAAAAAAAAGAGCCTGGACAATTTGCATGGCAAAACCCAGAGACAGCAGAATAGAGGAGAAAGAACTGGAGAAGATAACATCATACAAAAACCTGCACATAGAAATAGAATGATTGTGGCAAAAGAAACAAAGGTAGTACCAATAGTAATAGATGTCTTCGGTGCAATCACAAAACAATTGCAGCACCTCCTGAACACCATTAGCACTGACAAAATTATCAACAGTTTCAAAAGGCAGCTTTCCTTGGGACAGCTTACATACTGCAGTGTTATTTTTAATATAACAAACAATACCTGTTTATTCTTGGAAGGAACTTGATAGGTGGATAAAAATGCCAAATTCAGTCTAAACATCTGGCTGATTGTGCAACAGACCATAACAAAATAAGTAAACCAAAAGACCCAGTAGCTGAAGGGGGAAAAAAAACCAAGAATCACCTACAACCTACTATGTAAGTCCTACAATATTATGTAGGACAAATAAGCAGAAAACTGCCAGAGCCCATCCATGAACACCAACTAGCAGTCAGAAGACACAGTGAAAACTGCTTAACCTCACAACATATGGACAGATTCAACCAAGTTCTCAACTGTAAAACTTCAAGTATTCTAGATCAAGCTAAATCCAAAAATGTTAGAGAACTCCAAGAAGTTTGACATTCAGACAGATCAGCCATCAACAGAGTAAACAAAAAGACCAGAATACATCAACTCCAGCAGCCAATACCCAGATAAGCAGGGATTAACACCAGGGAAACAACCAAGCAGGAAACAAAAAGCTGATTAAGGAACTAGCAAAGGAAAAACAATCCCACCAACACTGACAGGGCAAGCTACTGCATATAAAGAGGAAGCAAAGCTCACACTCATTATTACAATGTGATGACCCAGGGTGGTACACAAAATAAACACAATCACAAAAAACAGATGAAGCCCCTTTTATTCCTTCACATTGCTTCCAAACATCCTTGACTGGAGACAAAAAACTCCCACGCAAGCAGTTACAAGAAGGAGGAAATGCTGTTTAAATTATAAAGAGTAAAAAACAAACTAGGCAAGATAAGGGCTTGAAGATGTCCACAGATATCAGAACACACACTGGGAAGGACGCCAAACTCAGAGAGGAACAATAAACTAGACATATTTCCATGCTTTGTTTCCAGCACTCGCCCATATGCATGTCTGTCCTCTTATCCAGTTGTCACAGCTGCAGCCCCTGAAGAGGATCAATGCCCTCTCTTCCCCCATAGACCACATCTCTCCCTTATCCTCTCATTGCTATGTGCCCTAGGATGGAGAGGGGGATGGCCCTCTGACTGCCCAGCCGGCCTCTGCCCTTTCCCAGCCTCCTCCACAACCTCCGGAGCCACACTTCCACTCCCTGTTGGCTCTTCCTCCTCTCCCTCAGAGTCAGTCTCCACCAGGGATATTACATACAAGTAGTCTTCAACTTATGACCACAACTGAGCCCAAAATTTCTCTTGCTAAGCAAAGCAGTTGTTAAGTGAGTTTTGCCTCATTTTATGACCTTTCTTGCCACAGTTCTTAAATGAATCACTGCAGCTGTTAAGTTAGCAACGTGGTTGTTAAGTGAGCCTGGCTTCGTCATTGACTTTGCTTATCAGAAGGTTGCAAAAGGTGATAGTATGACCTGGAACACTGCAACCGTCATAAAATCATCAGTTTTGATCACATGACTATGGGGATGCTGTAACGATAATGTGAAAAATAGTCCTGTTACTTTTTTCAGTGCAGCTGTAACTTTGAATGGTCACTAAATGAATTGTTGTCAGTTGAGGACTACTTGAACTGATGAAGTTATCGAATAGGGTAATGAGACATCTGCAAGCAAACAGTCAAACTCAAAAGAGCACCAAGGACTCCACATTTCAACTTGGAGATACATATATTCTCTTCTATTGGAGTTTGTTCTTTCATTTTCAGTTTTTTGCAAATCCATTTATTTGTACACACAGTTGTACATACAGCTAGTGGAAATGAATTCCCTAATGGAATCTTTGCATTTGTGTGCCTAATTTATTATTGATTCTTTCCAGTGGTGGGATTTGAAATTTTTTATTACTGGTTCTGTAGTCGTGGCTTGGTGGGCATGGCCTGGTGGTCATGGCAAGGAAAGGATATTGCAAAATCCCATTCCCTCCCCACCCCACTAACCTGCTTTCCAGCTCCATTCTCCTGTGCAGGGCAACCAAAGAAGACCCAGCCAATCAGCTGGGACTTGGCCGAGAATAGATGGGGGCAGGGCCAGTCAGAGGTGGTATTTGCCAGTTCTCTGAATTACTCAAAATTTCTGCTACGGGTTCTCCAGAACTGGTCAGAACCTGCTGAATACCACTTCTGATTCTTTCTATTCATATACAGTAATGCGGCTTTCTCATTTTAAGCCACCATCTGGAAAAACAGGTAACCCTTGCAAGCATCGCAACTCTAGCAAACATGTAGCTATAAGATGGTAAAGAAACATAGTTGAGATTATTGATATCATACATATAGTCTTTCATGCATCCATAGTCTTTCAAACAATGAATTACATTTGTATATTGAATACAGACTCAGTGTTCCTCTGCCAAGGCTCACTAGCTCTCATTTGCCATATGTTTGATTTCATTATGTGCCAATTACAAAAGGCAATCTGGGTTTGTGACTCTACTAAATGTCATATACTTTAGCAGAAATACAAGATTAAGCGGTCCAAATGGGAATGTGCGTCACTACCACGCTTGCCACTTATTATAAAAGCCATACAGTAGAAGCACGCCATTTGATGCTGGATCATAATAGATTTTCAGGCCGATTTCAGATTTTCCAATTCATCACTGGATGAGTAAATTTCATTATAGACTTGGATGGAGGAATACTTAACTGGTGGAGGAGGTGGCTTGAAAGATGGAGGTTTGTTTATACTATAATGAAAATAATCCTGTTTAAAATGTGCAGCAAATAAACATACACAATAAGCAATCAGAATAGTTAGATACAATTAAGAAGCAAATGAATACCATGAAAACATAATTAGGCATAAAAATAGGTCCATCCTGTCAATTGAAGCAGGGACCTAATATACCCTTTCAATTAAAGGTTAACAGATTAACATAGTTGGAAGGGACCTTGTTAGGTCATCTAGTCCAACCCACCAACCCCAAGCAGGAGACCCTACACCATTTTTAAAAAATGGCAGTCCAATCTCTTATTGAAAGTCTCAGGTGATGATGCTCCCACAACTTCTGAACTATTAAAATTAGTAGTATTGCTAAGATACTTGCATTTCTTTTTGTTCTTTTGAGTAATACCAAATCAATGCATATCAAAGCCACCAGGTTGATTTGTGATAATGAAATCACAAGGTAAATCAAGAATAAAGTATTACAGTAATGGTTTATTCAGTTGCCCTGACATACATAGTTTTTAAATATTATAGATATGCCATTCTTCAAACATGAGAATATATAACTTAATATGAACCAGATTTCAATAGTTTAGTCTCATGCTGATAATTAATATTATATGGACCTTACAGTGTGTTTTTTACTTATTTAAATAACTATAAGGTATGTAGGATTTTTAGTGGGCAATCACTGCCATATTTTGTTGTCATAGTAACTCTTTGTTGTATCTTATTAATAACTTTTCTAAAAATACAAAAAAGCCTGCTGGTTTCTTTCATTCTAAATATAAAGAAATCTTTTTGCAATTAATCTCGCTGTTTTGTATAGGAGTAATTTCACAATGATACACAAAATGAAGTAGCAATTTCGAGGGGCATACAGTGTACTTACATTTTTCTTTGATGCTGACACCATTTTCTGATCACACAAATAATTAAGCACGTGCAGAAGAGAAGCAGAAATGTCACAACTCCTGGCCAGGGAAATGTACTGTGTTTTGGAACCATTGTAGAACCTGGAAAAGGGTACAGTACCAACATTATTATAACGAAAACTATAAGCAAGCTTTGAACAGTTATTCTTTCTACATCTCTAAATTATGAGTGGGGTTTTTTTTTTAACTATCACATGGAGACAAATTATTCATAATGGAGTCAACATTAGACAGGATCCAGGAGCCATCTTAGCGGCAGGCCCTGAATGTTGCAAGAGATGGCAGGAAGCCATGCAATCCATCTTGTGCTCTTTGTGCTGGTTGCAGTCTTTAACAACCAAGGAGACCACACACATTGTCAGCAGTGAAAGGATATTTTGCCACCAGTCTTGTTCACAACAGCTTTAAAAATGATACCTACAGTTATAAAAACAGGATATAACTATATATCTGTTGGGTTGACTTGTTGGAAAAATTTGTAAGAGTTTTAAACTAATGCCTTATCCTGGTAGTTTAATGTCCAGCTTACTGACATAACACATGATCTATTTTCCAATTTGTTATCCTATTGCACTTCATATCTCTTACAATAATATATTGGGGCTTATGCTACTTCAATGGTAAGAGGCATGATATTTTAAAAAAACCTTTTATTTGTAGTCTTGCAATGCTGTGTGGCATTGGATGGCATTTATAGGGGTAAGAATTATACTGTAACACATTGGCATTTGCAATTTAACAATAGCACTTAGACTTATATACCGCTTTAAGTGATTTATAGCCCTCTCTAAGCAATTTACAGAGTCAGCATATTGCCCCCAACAATTTGGGTCTTCATTTTACCCATCTCGGAAGGATGGAAGGCTGAGTCAACCTTGAGCCTGGTGAGATTTGAACTGCCAAATTGCAGGCAGTCGGCAGTCAGCAGAAGCAGCCTGCAGTACTGCACTCTAACCACTGTGCCACCATGGCTCTAATAGGACTCAGATATTGACACAAGATGAATTAGAAACAAAAAAGCACTTAACCCTAACCCTTTTCATAACCATGATAGTGAATGGTTGCTAAATGAGGCATTCACTAAATGAGGATTACTTGTATTTTGTTTGTGCAGCTTTTGAAATAATTTCTGGAAGTACAGCCTGTTACGAACTAATAAACTCATTCGTCAAAAACTATACTAGCTTACTTCAGCAGCAGGCTTGTAAGCCTACACTTCTGATTGGCCCGCGGATAAGCGAATCGTGATTGGCCGATTCTGGCTGACCTGATTGGCTGACAACGGGCCGTCACCGATTGGACGCTTTTAGAGCGGTTACTTCAATTTCATTGGTTGTTGTGACAGCAGCTAGCTCTATAAAAGAGCTGCTGCTGCCCTTGTTGTTGTTCTGTTCTGAAGTCACTATTAAAGTGTTGAGTTGAGTCACTATAGATGCCTCGTCTCCGTTATTGCGCCCACACCTCCAGATCTAACACAGCCCATCTATTTTCCTCCCTTCTTAAAGACCGAGTCTTTGGCTTAGATGTGAAAATGATTTCCAAGGATGAAGATGTCTAAACTCTACACTGCTATATAAACAAAGCCGGACATCTTGCAATGATCCTAACAAGGATTAACACATCAGCTTCCCTGGCAACCGTAAATTATCTCAATAATTCTGTTCAGAATATGGACAACCATATCTTCAGCTTTTCATTCTTTAATGGCAGGTACAGGTAGGATGATACATGTTAGAGCTCCTATGAAATAAATCTTTTCAATCTTAGAATAGAATAAAATACCTTTATTGTCATTGCATTCTACAAATACAATGAAATTTGAAAGCTACTCCAGCACAGTGTCCCAAACACCACATCACAATCACACTACAGAGTATTTAAAAATTAAAATAATAATTAAAAACCTAGTCTAAAACCTATCTAAAACATATAGTAAGTTAGATAGTTTAAAAATGCCACTATATACATAGGGCTAAATCACATACGCATTGTTTGATTCAAGACAATTATTGCCTTGGAAAAGAAACTGTTTCTCAGTCTATTAGTCCTCATTTTAAGACACTTATAACGCCTCCCTGATGGTAACAGTTCCAAATATGAATGTTCAGGATGAGAATGGTCTGTGGAGATTTTTAGTGCTCTAGAGAGAAGTCTGGTCTTCGCAATCTCTTCCAAAGAAGAAAGAGAGCAACCAAAGATTTTTTGTGCTGTGTTTATAACTCTCTGGAGCATCTCTTATCCACTACAGAGCATCCAGCATACCACATCATTACACAGTATGCCAAAATGCTCTAGATGGTAGAACAGTAAAAAGTAACCAGCAACTTCTCACCCAGACCACTCTTTTTCAACAGCCTCAGAAAGTGCAGGCGCTGTTGGGCCTTCTTTGCAGTGGCCATAGTGTGGACCGACCAAGTAAGGTTGTCGGAAATATGAGTTCCTAGAAATTTAAAACTATGAACTCTTTCCACACAGACTCCATTGATATATAGTGGGAGAGGCTCTGCTTTGCATCTTCTGAAGTCTATAATCAATTCTTTGGTCTTTTTGATGTTCAGGGTGAGGTTATGACTCTTGCACAAGACCAGTCTGAGAACCTCTGACCTATAGGCCGTCTTGTCTCTTCCTGATATGAGTCCCACCAACGTGGTGTCGTCTGCCAATTTTATTATAGAGTTAGTGGGATAAGAGGGAGTGCAGTCGTAGGTGTAGAGTGAATACAAAAGGGGGCTCAGCACACAGCCCTGTGGAGAGCCAGTGCTGAGAGCAAGAGTGGAAGAAAAATAGCTGCCACTCCTAACAGTTTGGGGTCTGTTAGTAAGAAAGTCCTTTATCCAACAGCAGATGTGAGAGGAGAGGCCCATTTCTAGCAACTTCTTAATCAGTATATCTGGAATGATGGTATTAAAAGCTGAGCTGTAATCAACAAAAAGCATCCTTACATAGCTCCCACTATGCTCCAGATGTTTCAGTGCAACGTGGAGAGCCATGGCAATAGCATCCTCTGTGGATCTGTTATTCCGATAGGCAAACTGGTGTGGGTCAAGATTTGATGGGAGGCAATCCTGTATATATTTTAAGACCAGTCTTTCAAAACACTTCATAATTATGGGTGTGAGAGCTACTGGTCTATAGTCATTTAAAGTATCAGGAAAGGGCTTTTTGGGAACTGGAATAATAATGGAAGTTTTGAGACAAGATGGAACAATGGCTTGTGTAAGAGAAAGGTTAAAATTATTTGTAAACACAACTGCGAGCTGGTCAGCACGTACTTTGAGTACCTTCCCAGGTATCCCATCAGGGCCAGCAGCCTTTTTCACATTCACTGCTCTAAGCACCTGCTTCACATCATACTCTTGTACTGTGAACAGTTGAGTACCAGTGGTTTGTAGAGGCAGACCTATTCAGTTCAAATTGGGCAAAGAAGCAGTTCAATTCTTCTGCCAGTGATGCGTCCTTATTGATCGATATGGGGCTGCTGCCCCTGTAATTAGTGATGTGTTTAATTCGTGCCAAGCCCATCGTGGATCATTATTTGTGAAGTAGTCCTCAATCTTCCTTTTATAATCCTTTTTTGCCTCCTTGATGCCCCGCCTCAGTTCCGCTCTTCCCTTGTTATACCAAACCCTGTCCTCAGACCTGAATGCCATATCACATGTCTTGAGAAGTAATTGCACATCCTTGTTCATCCAGGGCTTCTGGTTTGGAAAAGTACAGATGCGCTTATTCACAGTAACCATATCTACACAGGTCAAGATGTAAAACAGTACAGTTTTTGTATATTCCTCCAAATCCTCTTGTTCAAATAAATTCCAATTAGTATTTGAGAAATAATCCTGCAGCTGATCAAGTGCTCCCTCCAGCCAGATCTTGATGAGTTTGATTTCAGGCTTAGTTTTCCTTCTGAGGGGGTTGTATGCTGGTGTAAGGAACAGTGATAAATGATCTGAAAGTCCCAGATGTGGAAGGGACACTGCTTTACATGCATGCTTTGCATTAGAATACACATGATCAAGTGTGATGTTTCCCCTGGTAGCACATGTCACATACTGAGTAAATTCGAGAAATACAGTCTTTATTATTATCTTGATTATGACATAGAAATTGTGAGGAAATTGATTCATACGTAGTATCTTCCTTCCCCCAGCCTCCTCCCTGTAGAGCAATCTTGCCAAAACCAGCTGTAGCAATCTTTTTGTCCTGCTCCTCCTTTCATGGAGATTCCTTTACAATTGAAGCAATAACTTACCAGTATTAAGGGCATTGTTTACAGTATATGAATTAGTAGGCCTATTCATTGTGGGTAGTTCAGTCATTCTTCTGATGGACAGGTTTCCTTAAAATAGACAAACCTGCATTCTTTATGATTTTAGACAGTTTATCAGTATTACTAATAGTAATAATGATTACTATGCATCTGGCTGACTAGGCAACCAACCATAGTAGAAGATGGGATATATTACAGTTGTTCACACAATCAGTCAGATGCTTAGATTGAATTTGACATTTTTATTCACCTATTGAGTCCTTCCTAAAGACCTAGAGTAGGCAGTTTTGTTATTTGTTGTTACATATACTGTTGCAGGATGTTAGCTGTTCCAAATAAAGATGCCTTTTGCAATTGATTGATGATGATTTTGTCAATGCTGATTGTGTTGTTTTCTTATGCTACAACCATTCTACTTCAATGTGCAGATCTTTGTATTTGTGATATTTCGCCAGTTCATTCTCTTCTATTTTACTTCGTCCAGGTAGTGTCAATTCCACTATCCAAATTATTTTGTCTTTCTTATTGACAGTTGCTTAGTCTGAGGTTTATTATGTAGCAGGTACTTGCCTATTTGAATTCTAAAGTCCCAGAGCATGTTAGTTTTCTATTTTATTGCAATATTCCACATCCAATTATTTTTCTTGGCAAGCAGAGTCTGTCAACATCACTGTATGGATGACCGGCATGATTCAATTCATTGTCATTATTTTTCTGGTCTTCCTATTCAGATCTTTTAATTCTGCTTTAGTCCAGTCCACTCTTCCAGCTGTGTATCTAATGACTGAAATTGCCCATATTTTAATTGCCTTGATGGTATTTCCTCCATCAAGTTTGGGCTTTAAGATCTTGTTAATTCTCATGATATATTTACTTCTGATTCTTCCTTTTTTACTTCTGTGTACTTGATGTTGTCATCTTAAATATATCCACATATTTATAGCAATCATTTTCATTAAGACTCTTGATGTTATTTCCATAAGGATCTTGATTCCTTCAATTTTCATTATCCCCTTCCCCAGTTTGATAGGGTGACACATTTGTCCACTTCAAATTCCATTCCATTTTGGCTCATTTTACACACACACACACAAACACACACACACACACACACACACACACAGAGAGGGGGGGTTTCTTTCTTGCTGATGCTTATATCTAATATTACAGCATTGGCATCTTTTAATATCTGTGCTAGCAGTTTCTTCGGAATAAGCTTCAATTCAGGCAATGTTATTTGGTTGTTTTTGTATTGAACTAGATGCTCAGTTATTCTTTATTTCAATTCTTACGTTTTAGTTAGGAGGTCTTTGTTCTTTCTGTGGAGAAGGCTGAAGAGAGGACTCACATCCATGTATCCTCTATTTCTTGGTATTTTCATTGGAAATATGAAAAGGCAGCTATACAGGTAAAAGTGGAAGGCAAACTCTTCTTCAAGTCATACCTTAGGTAATTTCATAGGTAGGTCTGTGTTGTTTGCTTGGCAGTAATCCCTAAGGGGTTTGCAACATTTCTTGAAGAAATTGGTTTTATGGTCTCTTTTCCAGAACCAATTCTACTTAACCTTCCCAAGTCAAGCAAGATGGATTGGATTAGGTATAGAAGCACTGTGGAATTTGTGTATCTCAATATGTTATTTATCATTCACAAAATAGCTTGCATGACTTTCCACAGATCCAATCTGATTCTCCCTCCCTCCCTTTCTCTCTCTCTCCCTCCTTTCTCTCTCTCTCCCTTTCTCCCTTTCTCTCTCATTAGGAATTCCAAATTATCTATCCTGACTTAAGAAACCTAATTTTACATATAATTAAAATGTAGACAATATATCCTAATTTATAGTTATGCAAAAATCATGTTAATACTTTCACATCATCCACTTACGTTGTGATGGTATGGAGTTATCCTGGAAATGAGTAACAGTGGCAGCATTTTGGTGGGTTGTTACCCTGGAATTCTTCAGCCCTTTGTCAAGATAATTCCATTAGATCATGACAATTTAAACAGAGTAATATTTATTAGAAAGGATATTTACCCCTTAGACTTTACTTAAAGATGACAGAAAATAAATTAAGGTAACCCCTGCTCAAGCACAAATGTGGGAATCAAAGAAAAAAAAACAATACCTGGGTTGTAATACTTTATTAGATCTGGGCTGTAAAAAATCCTGTGATCATTAGATGGCAGCAAAGAGACACAGAAGAGTCTACCTTTTTAGTGTGATCTAAAGCAGAGGTCTCCGACCTTGGCAACTTTAAGACCTGTGGACTTCAACAGGTCTTAAAGAGTTGAAGTCCACAAGTCTTATATTGACAAGGTTGGAGACCCCTGATCTAAAGGTTGTCTGGATTTCACCCAGGTCTAGTAGCTGTATTTAAGAGCTAGTTAAGAACTGCATAATTGTTAATTGGTGTCTGCAATTTCACATCATCAGTTGCATATATAAAACATCATCACAGATGTATCACTATTGAGAAGTCTTTTATATCATCTAACTAACCTTATCCAATTTGATTCCCATAAAATTCAAAACCTGTGAGCCTTCAATGGACATTAGTTTTTCAGCATTTCAGCAGGCATTTTTCTTTTGTTATTAGGAAATGCCAGACATAGAATCTGACTCAGATATTCTACATGTTAACCCATGGTATTTTCATTAAAACCTTCATCTATGATGGTAGCTTTTCAGCAGATACACAGTACTGTAATAATTTGGAAGTATATACATTTTGCTAGAATAAATTAAATGTCTTAGTTTTTGTTAAAAACAAAATCTTTTTTCTGTACTGAAATATATTTTATTTTTATTCTGAACTCTCATGTGTCTTTTGCTTTCTTGATCCAGGGCTTACAGAGGATAAGAAGCATACAACTTACACTATCAGTGAAATAATTATTTATCATCTAAACATGGAACTTCTGACTTTTGCTCCAGGAGGTAGTGGTACTAATGTAATTTTTTTTTACTCTAATACAAGATGGACAGTGCTGTGGTAAAAGTAGGATTCCTACCAGAAATTCATACAAGAACCTTGAGCTACATCTTACAAGTTTAAGATTCAGAAATATATGTCAAAATCAGTTTGAAAATGAGTAATCAATATTATTTTGTTTGATTCTATTTGTGTGTGCGTTATACATGTGAAAACAGAATGACTTGCCAGAAGGAATACCTTTTCACAGCTTATAAATCAAGTAAGCCTCTCCAGCATAAACAAGCAGCAGCCCTTTAAGGATGTTAGACATGGGAAATGATCACATTAAGAGGATTGTAATTGTGGGCAGCAGGCATGAAACCTCAGGTCACTGCTTATACGTTTCTCAATAAGAACTATTCTTAGCAGCAATAAAAATCAGATTATCTAAGGAAATATAGCTTTATGCCATGGTCGGTGAAGATTTAGCACTGGGAAGAAAAGTTTTGTCTCTTGGCTTCCTTGATGCTGTGATGAACCAAGGAGTGATAACTATCATTATTACTATTCTTGTTGTTGATGATGAATATCAAGAACCAACTTTCTTTAATCTAACTTTGTTCTTCGATTATACTTTGGATACTTTTGTTGCTATCCAGTCAAATATATTTATGGAATTTCTAGACTCCAATGAGTAATTTAGCATTAGCATTACATTCTTTCATGCTATGTAGCATATCAGACAGCCGAATATGTAATCCAGGTTCAAAAACTATATTAATTTAAGAAACAAACAAATTGCTTTGATAATGTGAGATCAGGCATAGGCAGTCCATGAGTTTAACAGTGATATTGATCCCTGTTATTTATTGCAAACATTGCTTTTCTGCTTCAAGTAAATTGCATTCCAAGTAAATTCCCTTGAAGACCATTCTCCTGATATTTAACCAAATTGATACATATGTTTTATTATGGATGCTAAAGAATCCATTGAGTGGGAACTGTAAGTACAATATCATAGCCAGTTGGCCTAGTGATTAAGGTACTTGGCTAGAAACCAGAAGACCAGGAGTTCTAGTCCTGCCTTTGTCATGAAAACCAGCTGGATAATTTTGGGTCAGTCATGCTCTCCTAACCCATAATGTTAGCCTTGGGTAACAGCCAGTTTCTATTGCAATCAATAGATCAATACTTGGTTGATCTCAAAAAAAGTGGACCCTTCATTTTCAGGAAATACTATAAAGGGAACCTGTAAAGAAATACATCTAACACTCCATATTATTTGGAAAGGTTTTCTTAATGAGAATAACTTTCCTATGTAAAGTGGATATTTCTACTTTTTTATGTACATAAAAGTTAACTTACTTTGTGGTATTGTGGAGTCACTTTGAGGTACCGTGGTCTCACCGGACATCATAGTAATAGCATCATTTTGCCAGGGTTGCATAGAATGCAAGGATTCTGTAGAAGACATATTGTCTTTAAATTCCTTGACAATGTGATGATTCAGTGCTTTGTTAGCTAGATGCTACCAGCAGAGGTAAAACGAAAATGTAGACTTCATTTGGATAATACAAATTTCACATTATAAATTGAATAATAAAGGAACAAATCTATCATTTCCTATTTTCTGGAAAGATTTCCCTGATAGTAATAACTACTGAATAATATGAAATTATATAAAATGATATTTATACTTCTGCATGTTCTAAGGTATTATTATTATTCCTTTGATTTGAAAGAAATATGGCACTACCTTCCCCACACTAAATACAACTAATTTAGGAAGTATTATAACTTACTTTGTGGTACTGTGGAATCATGGAGGAACATAATAGTGGTAGTACTTTGCAGAGTTTTGGTAGAATGCAAGATTTCTGTAGAAGACAAATTGCCCATAAATTCCCTGTTCAACATGACTATTCAATGTTTTTTTGACTATTGCCACTAGGAGAAGTAAAACCAAAATGCAGACTTCATATTCAGCACTATAAAGAAAACACAAGAGCCAACTTCACAATATTCAGAAAGGCTCTCTTAATAACTCTCACATATAGCAATAGTAATACCACTTCAACTTATATAACCCTTCACAGTGCTTTATGGCCTTCTCTACAAAGTTTACATAGCCAGCCTATTGCCCCCAACAATCTGGATTTTACCGACCTTGGAAGGATGGAAGGCTGAGTCAACCTTGAACCGGTGAGAATCAAACTGCTGGCAGTTAGCAGAATTAGCCTGCAGTACTGCATTCTAAACACTGCACCATGGCAGCTCTTAACGTGGTGAAAGTACATATGAAAGTATATAAAGCTGATTTTTTAAAAAATAAAATCCTTGATAAGTCAGTCACAATTATTGAAATGTATTATATTTCTACTTTCCACACCAAAAATTTAGAAAGTGTACATCACTTACTTTGCAGTAATGTGGAGTCACTGAATAACTTTGTGGTAGTATCACTTTGCAGGGTTTTAGTAGAATGCAAGTATTCTGTAGAAGACAATTTGTCTTTAAATTCCTTATTCAATGTTTGGTTAGTTTGATTCTACCAGGAGAACACGGTTTGAAATTATATAAAACTATTTTTTCTACTTCTTGATACAGCTAATCCACTATGCTTAATTGGATTTGAAATCTATAGTATATGGTTCTTATCCAATCCAATCCATATATGTAACATTTTGCACATGCAGGATGAGAAAAGATGCCCATTATCAGTTTCTAATAAAGGTTGATTAAGATCCTTTCAAAAATACAGCTAGAAAGAGGAGGAGATTGTTTAGTAGCTTTGTCTCCGTTGTCCACTGAATTAAATTATGATATGTAGTGATTGGCCTCCAAGAAAGTTTGAACCAACACAAGCAAATGTTCAGCAAACCTACTATATAATTATACTATATACTCCAACTGGACCATGACAGTTCTTAATATAATTTCACATGTATACAATGGCTCTCCTCTCCTCCCCTCCTCTCCCCCTCTCTCCTCCCTTCCCCTCATCTCCTCTCCCCACGCACCTTACTCCACCCCATCTCATTTCACTCCACTCCACACAGCAATTAAAATATGAGAAAATTTGAGAAAGAAGTGGGCTGCCAAATCTGTGACTTGTCTAGAAGGGGAAAAAAAAAAGACTACAAAAACAAAATAAGTTATACTTTCTTTTGGAACCTTGAAGGGTATAATAAAACTTGATGCAAACATTCGTTATTGCATTGTTATTGCTCATTTATAAAAATCTGTATAATGACACAACATTAATTAAAAGTATTATATTTAGAAAGGTGGAAGGATTATAAAACAACAGATATGGATCCTTTTTTTTTTGGCCTAGAAATGCCAAATGCCATGGTAATATAAAAATGAAAGAAGAGGCATTGTGATGACAGATTATTGTTCTGCCTTCTCTTATATGCAAGTCCTGGAGAACAGGACTCATGTGAGATAAGGGTTTGTCTCACAGACTCCAGCAATATAAAGATTTCCCCATTCTTTATGCACTTGTGGGAGCTTTCACCATAAATAGCAAAGGGTTAGATAACTAGCAAAGATAAATAGATAAATAGCAAAGGGTTAGACCCTGAAGCAATAAAGCTAACAATAAATGAACCATAGAAGTGTTGAGACAAAAAATATTCATGTATGACTATATTTTTATTGTGGATGTATGTTGAAGAAAAAGAAACATAAAATTTATAATTGACTTACTTTCTGAAGAGGAATCTGGTACTAGCATTTCTTCTGAGACTTCAGAAAGTGTAGTCTGTAACCCTGATTAAAATAACTATGGTTTGAAATACAGTGGACAGCCAAAACAATGACATAAACATGACTTTATACCAACATTTTAATGATGCAAGTAGTAACATATGTGCCTATCTTTTGTATATTTGCCATATAGGCATGAGATAAATATATAGATATATTCTATACTTTTTTCTAATAAAGATATCACAACTTTTTGTTTCTTTTTTAAAAAATAAAATAATCTATAATACTTGTAACTGTTGGAACACTTTTCATAACTGTATTTTATTTTGGTGTTGACATTTATACCATTATTTTGTAAATATTTAAAGAACAGGTAATATTTCATAGAAATCAATAAACAACTACTTACTTTCTGTGGGTGAATCTGAAATGGCAGGAATGTGACTAATGAATTCTGAATATGCCAATGATGTATTCTGAAATCCTGTTTAAAATAACCAGTTCAGAGAGTGGATAATCCTTAAGAACAGCATCATGATATTGTTGGTTATAAGATGGGTGGCTATATAAATGTTTTAAGTAAATAAAATAAAATAATAGAAACCAATAAAGTATTACAAATAATAGGTTTTCATTCTAAATATAGCATTCCCACTGATAGATAACATAATGAAATGAAAATAGAATTGAAGGAATACAGAATAACTTTAATGTTCAAGGAAACCCAGAAATATTATGCATTTTAAATTATAATTAATAAAATTTAAATTTAAAATCAGAAAAGCATGATGGCTTTTAGGGAAACACTGTTTTACACAGAGTAGTGTAACTTACTAAAACAAAAATTTAAAATATTACATATATATTTAAATTGATACCAAGTACCATTTGATCAATGCTTAACACTTGAGATACAGATAAAACAACTGCATTTGGTTAAATTTATCTGTAGCTGTATACAAACAAGAGAAGGACAATTAAAGAAATTGTACATTGGAACCTAATTTGAAGTTAGGCTGAATTATAAGTAAAAACCATCTGGGCAATCTTTAAAAATTATCTAATGGGACAACTGCTAATTTCCCTTGCCTTTTTTGAAACCCACCAGGTGAGCAAGGAAATTTATAATGCACTAGATCACGGCTGTCAAACTCCTGGCCCACGGACCAGATGTGTCACATGCTGGCCGTGCCCATGCCCAGTTTAGCAATGGGGAAAAAAAGTCCCAATACATCACGTGATACAGCTGTGACGACATGAGTTTGACACCCCTGCACTAGATTAATAAAAATAAAAATTCAGATCTCTAGTTGAACTCATGGAAAGTTCAAAATGGCTTGAAAAAAGAAAGTGCACAATAGCACATTTGCTGTTTCTTCTCAATCTGTTTGCATTCAGATGGAGACTTGAAGAGAAGTTATAATGTAGCTACAGCTATACATGCAATTAAAAGAACCTGATTTATAAGCCCCTTTTTGCATAAAGAGGTGAATTTAGAGACAAGCCAATTACTTAATCATTCCCCCTTTAGATTTCCAGCTATAAATATGGAGGTTAAGGAAGTTTTGTGATTATCCAACTTGAAGTTTTCTTATGTTCAATTCCTCAATTGCATTTGCATTCATCGAACACAGCACATATTGAGACTATTCAACCTTCATATATTGCACAACCTTTATATATATGCTGGGATGAAATACTATCTATCAGCAAGAGCATAATTGAGATTGCTGTTGACTGAAAAATAAATTCCAGTAAACTGTTAGTCTCTAGAGTTAAAACTTCCTCCAAATTCAGCTTTACATAGTTGCCAGTTCAATTAAAAAACGAACAATGTAACTGCTGAATATGCAACAATTCCCTTAATAGGATGAAACACATGTACTATACTTTCTATGAAGACATGCATTTTTATTTGTTTCTGCAGAGTTCACACTGCCAAAAGCATGTTTGACTGAACATATATGCATGAGACACCACTTGGATTATAAATGGCCCCTAATTTCCAAAAGCGACTTACCATGAGGAATAAATATTTCTTTAGATGAACAATTCCATCTGTCCTTTCTAGTGAAGTGGTATGCAGACATGCATTTGAAGGCTTGATTAATGGATGAATGAGTTATATTCCATATTGACAAGAATGATGTCCTCTCATAAAAACTTCCTACTCGGTTAATATTTTTATTTTCAATTAATAAACCTTTGAAAGAAAAAAAGGGTTAAAAACAGGTTTTCCTTTATGTTCCTTCCTCTAGCAATAATTAAATAAATAAGTTCCTGAAAACAAGCTGTAAAATGTTTAATTACATAATCAGGATAATATATCATTTTTATTTGTAAAATGTCTTAACAAGTAGGGAGTATACAGCAATTGCATCCATAGATTACAAATATTTGGAAATGTATAATCCCCTGAAATAAAAATAGATGCAATATGTTCTAAAAAATAAGTATGGAACCTGCAGCTTTTCAACAGCTTTTGTATTACAGTATTCTCTGCCCCCTCCAATAACTGCACTGATTGGAAGAGATAACCAATAGAAGGATTACAATTTCCCATACTATTCCTGAAGAAGTTGACATCTACATTTAATAGTTGGGCATTTGTTTTATACTAGTTGTGCCAGTTAGAACATTTATTTTGCATTACCTTCAGATTTTTCATTCAGAATCTTTCCACCCATGTACCACATAAGTTTTGGCTTTGGATATGCCTTCTTTATCACGCATGTGAACTGTGCCTGAGTAAAAATAAACAGAAATGAAATCAGCAGTTCAAACAAATAGTATACAGAAGGAAATAGTGTGTCTGCCTTTGTCTTAAGCTTGATTATCTGGGTTAATCCCTCTGATAAAGAAAATCTCCTTTGAATTGACTTCATGGTCATACCACTTTAGTTTATTTGGGGTACTATAACTACTTTTTAATTGTTTTTTTGTTTTTGTTTTTGTTTCGATGTTCTAGTTCAGGGCTCCAAGCTTTGCTGGCTGGGGAATTCTGGAGTTGAAGTCCTCCAGGCTTAAAGTTGCCAAGGTTGGCTGTTCTAGTTGGCTTTTCACTTTATTGGATTTTGAGCTGTTTTATTATTTTAAGGATTTTTAAAGAGTATTTTTATTGCACAATAGCTTTTATTGTAATTTTTAAATTGTTTGTATCCAAGTCTTGGGCTTGCTTTTATCAATGAAAAGTAGTTTGTAATCCCAACAAATTTGGAAGGCTAAAATATTATTTTCCTGTTCATCCCAATCCATCTGGTTACCTCCACCTCTATTTCCCTTCTGAAGTTTATTCATCGCAATCTATTCTGTTGTAATGATTGACGATGGTGTATAAAATTTTCAGATGTACATAAATATATAACAATGAAAAGAAGAGTACAACTAGTTAGAATGACACAAAACTTTGCAGATATTAAATCTGACCACCTGCTCCATAATCCTCTTGAATATAACATGCAGCGAATATAACATGCAAGCCACATAAATGCCATATTTAAATAGTTCATAACAGGAAGGAAATTAAAAAAAACACTGTGGTTCTGTCTACCATGTGGTTTTGCTTCTGTGACAGAGCTTAAAATCACAAGAGTCTTGTTCTTTATCAAGTAAGATATTGTTGCTTAGGTGAAGATGAAATATCAAGGAAACTGTCACAGTAACAGACATGCTTACTAAATCTGTGCAATATTTGGTTGAGATATCTGAGGTAGAAAATATAGTTATTGGAGCACAAAATACTTCGGGTAAACAGACGACTATCATTTATTAGGAAGCTAGGTTTCATCTGGGTGCCTGTTTGGGGTGTGTTTGAGCTGGAGGTATCAGGGGGAGTCTGTTTGTGCCCAGGTGTTTGCCTGGCTGGTGGTGTGGAGATTTTTTTGTTTGTGAGTGAAGGCTTCCAGATAATTGGCAGTCTGGTGGAATCATCTCTTCTATTAATGCTTTCAGGTCTTTTTTCAATCTCTATGGATGAAACCTAGCTTCCTAATAAATGATAGCCGTCTGTTTACCCAAACCCAAGCCGCACTAAAAGCCTCCAATACAGGAAACACAATGTTGCCAGCTAATCAAGACAAAAAAAAAATGCTACAAAACAGACAGAAGATATTAGAAACACCAATCAAGCAGTACACAGCAAACTCCAAGATCAATAAATACAGACCAAGACTCCCAACCAATCAGGATGAAGAAAAAACCATTCTGGCACAGCAGTAGGCTAGCACCAAATTTAAAACAGAAACAGCTGTGAAATCCTGACTCACAGATGAACACAATACAGAAGCCTGATGATGGCAGATGAGATACCCAAACAAAGCTGAATACCATACATATAAATACCTGCGAAAACTTAAGAATATATATACATATACATATACATATACATATACATATACATATACATATACATATACATACATACATACATACATACATACATATATATATATATATATATATATATATATATATATATATATATATATATATATATTCATTCTAAAATATGCTAGTGACTATTTAAATGATATTAGGAAAACAGAGAATATGATGACTTGGGTGAAAATTTGGTATTAATTATGTTTAAAAAGTGTGAATTAGGCAAGAAACTGAAAAAAAAATCCATTTTGACATCAATAGGCATTTAAGCTGAAAATAAAATGTCAAAGGGATAATAAAGATTTCTGGATACTTAAAAGCTTTTAAAAGCAGGAAAGGAGAGAAAAAGAATAAAAGGGCAGGATCTGGAAAAATGGAGGAGACTACCTGGAATTAAAAGGAATTTACAGTGAAACCTCAACAAGATTCCTAAAAGATACATTTAACTGAAACTTGGCAACAAAATAATAGAACCCCAGGAAGAGAAAGTGGAAAAAAGAAGCATGAAGAAATAGCTTTGGATTATTTGGATTATTTGGTGATCTTGGATTTTTGGTTATTGCATTTAAATGACTAAAATCAATCGGGTGGTTGTTTAAAAGTGTCTAAAATGGCACCACTTTTAGAAGAACTGAAAATGGAACTTAAAAAGTACAAAGAAGATGCACAAGAAGGGAAAGATCCTTTTGGCTTCGTATTTCAACTCTTAGAAATGGAGATCTGGAACTATGAGAAACAACAAGAAATGCTTGCAGAACAAGAAGACTGGGACAAGGAAGGAGCCAACTTTAATGATCGAGTAATTTCATGTGGGGGGGGAAGGAAAGGGGGGAAAGAGAATGAAAAATTTAAGATTTGAAAAAACAACAACAAAAAAAGAATAGTTTGAAAAATAAGTATAATATTAGAAAGCAACAGAAGAGGGGATTACAAAAGATAGAATTAGAAGTAGAGAGACAAGGGGGTAAAAAGGGGAGGGAGAAGAAGAAGGGGAAGAAAGAAAGGAAAAGAAGTTATAAAAGACAGAAACAAGATATAGAGAAACAGGGAAAAGGTATAAGAATTGAAAGTATAAGCCTGTTTAGAGATAATGGGTGAAAACTTAATTGTAAAAGGGATTCTGCAAAGGTACATAAGACAGTATTGTTATATTACAAATAGAAATAATTTTAGAAAATATGATTAAAATGATGGATAAAATATTTATCGTAATCTAGTGGAATGTTTGTTTATAAATAAATGAAATAAAGTGAATGAGAGAATTAAATTAGGAAAGGATGGGAACATTTTAATTATGAATGATTTATAAAATATAAGTGAAGAGAAATATGGAAAAAAAAGAATTAATTATGGAAAGTTTATAAGTGTTCCCAAGGAAGTATGATACTTAATTGAAAAGAAATGTTAAAGATGTTAAGATTTTAATGAATATTAATGATAGAATTGAATTGGAATGGAATGAGTGAATATATAT